CTCCTCCTCCTCCTCCTCCTTCTCCTCCCTCCCTCCTCCCCTTCCCCCCTCTCTCTTCCTTTCTCCTTCCCTCCCTCTTTCTCCTTCCTCCCTCCCTCCCTCTCCCTCCTTCTCCCTCCCTCCCTCTCCCCCTTCCTTTCTCCCTTCCCCCTTCCTCCCTCCCTCTCCTTCTCCCTCTCTCCTTCTCTCAACCAAGCGCTAAAATAATCTAAAAATAATAAGGATTTTTATTATAGCAATAACATTCCCCGAAGAATATGGCAACATCATCAAAAGCTCTGAATCTAATTAAAATAATTCAAAAGGGAATTCGCGAACCTGTGGATTTCGATAAACAGGCAATGCCGCTTGTAAACTAACCTATGAATTATTACTGTTAATATCAGCAATACTCACGCAGAGTGTGAATGGTCTCCAGGTTGATTTTTTTCCTTCTTCTTCTTCTTCTTTCTTTGTTCATCGGTATTATTCTTACTTGCTTTATGTGTTATCAGTTGTCAGGTATGTCTTATTTAACTCTTGCCTTTATGAAATATTGCACACATATATATACTACCTCCTTCTTTAACTTGTGCCTTCATGAATTAATGCATATACTATTAAGTGGAATGACATGTATATTCCGAAATCCAGTGTAATGTCATAATATATATTTTATGGGCAATCCAAATCAAATGCAATTGATTGCCACTAGTCAACTAGCATATATAATCGATTAACGAAATCTTTTTTTTTACCGCATCACCGTTTCTGCATCGCCACTACACACGCAGTAGTGAAATGTGGCGTTCAAAATCCGTAGGTTTATCACACCTCGCTCTCCCAGCGCCAATAAGAGGAAGGGAGAGACGCAAATTGTTACCTTCTGGGCTAGCACTTTTGGTCTGGAGGGAAAGGTAGTAATTTGGTAATAGTAATCATAGGAATGGTAATGCAAAGAAGAAATTCTTGGAGTGGTCATGACTTTCGAATTCCCGAGTTTGTTATGGTAATATATTTTTTTTGGATCTTTAGGAAAATATTATGATTATGATGATGATTTTAATAATAATGATAATTATTATCATGATAACGACAACAAAGTAATAGTAGTAGTGATAATATGAATAAAAAATGATAGTGATAATGATTTTAATACTGTTAATGACAGCAGCAATATCAATAGTGATAATAATGATAGTGATAATAGTAGTAAGTAATAAGAGTAATGAAAATAGTAATGAGAATATTGATACCAATGGTATTATGAGTGAGAGAGATAATAATGATAATATTAATGATAATGATAGTCATGATAAAGGCAAGAACGATGATGCTAGTAATAATAAGGGTAAGAATGATGATGATATTATAATTATGATAATAATAATGATAGTTATTATGAAGATAGTGATAATAATAATGATAACTATTATAAATGACAGTAATGATAGTGATTATATTAATAATGATATTTATAATAATAATAATAATGATAGATATTATAATGGTAATAATAATAATGATAGTAAATAATAGTATTAGTTGATAATAGTGATAATAGTCATAGTGTTGATAGTAATAATGATAACAAGGTGAGAATTTCAACAATTACGATAAGTAATGTAGCCATGAATGTTGCATTCTATATCTAATATAAAATAACATTTACCATGATATTTAATGTAATGATAAGGATACTGATGATACAGACAGACAAACGGATAGATGCACAGAATTATCTACGAGAAAACTTATGCCGATACCATATATTTTATGCCCCCCCCCCCCCCCCGTCCTCATCTGGAACCAATTCCATTATGGCAAAGGTAGTCTATTTGATATCTATTTGTAAACCGTAAGTAGATTTATGCATTCGACCGCCCCTTTTATTGTGTGATTGTTCCTGATGGTGAGATCTGTTTAAAGTGACCATCGCTATCAAGCTCCGTTGATTGATCTATTTTCTTGTTTGGTTTGGTGAGCAGACGATAAACAAGGTGTTTTCAGCTGGGCGCTGAGCTGAGTTTTGCACGGCTGAGGATGTTTGTATGGTGGCGTTTGGAGGATATAGGGTGATTCTCAAGGTGTGTGTGTGTGTGTGTGTATGTGTGTGTTGTGTTGTGTGTGTGTGTGTGTGCATTTGTTCGTCTATGTTTGTTCAGTGTGTCTATGCAAGTGTTCGTGTTTGTGTTTTTTTTTCTGCGTATGTGTATGTGTGTACTTCTGTGTATGCATATATGTGTGTGTGTGTGTATTTCTTGCGTGTGTCTGTATATCTATGTAGGTGTGAGTTTCTGTTTGTGCTTCTGTGAATATATATACATATCTCTACGTATGAATGTCTTGTTTGTTTTTCAGCATGTATGCATACCCTTCTATCCCCAAACATACGCTTTTCTCTATCCACATGGATCTCTATACACGCCCGCTATATCCGCATCCTAACACCCCCACTGCCTTTCCTTCATCGCAGGAAACGGAGGTGCAGCTGGGGGCGTCCGAGGCCATCCTATATCGAAGCCCGGACCCCGTAGGAGGTGTGAGGAAGCAGTTCAACCTCGCTGCTCGTAGGACTTCTCTTAAGCATCCTGATGATAGCGTTGAGAAGGTAGGTAGGCTGGTAGGGCGTGTGGTGTGTCTTGAGGTGTGTGTGTGTGTTATTTTGCATGTCCGTTTCAAGGGGGAGATGTGTTTTGTTGTGGGTATAGAGTAGTGGATGAAGTGAGTGTGTACATGTATGGGTAAAAGAACTTTATTTTGTGTTACTTCACGTCCTTTCATTCGTTCTTCTAGTTTTTTTTCTTTCTTTCATTTTTTTTTTTTTTTTTTTTTTTTTTTTTTTTTTTTTTTTTTTTTTTTACTTTCGTACTCATTCTCCAACTCATTCTCCATTCACCTTCTCTGTCATGCATTAAGTTCCCAGTTGGCAACGCTACAGGAATGCAGTCTTGTGCGTGACATGTCAACCAGCCTACCGCTGTTGAATTTTTTATTTTATCATTTATTAGTTCTGGGAAAAATGTTTCGTGTTTTTGTGGGATAAATTTTTGAAAAAAAATATATGTAAAATTAACTGATCTTGCGCAGTATTGTTAGTTTTTTTGTTTTGTTTTTTATTCATTCGCTGTTCGTTCCTTTCTCAATCTCATTTTGGCTTTTATTCAATTCATCATCCGCCGTTTCTTGCTCTCGTCATTCTCACCATCCCACGCTCTCATCCATTCTCCTCCACACCCTCTCTTCCTTTCTCTCCCTCTCTCTCCCATGCACGACCCCCCACAGATCGCGACGCTGGAAGAGTGCATGGCCCTCTGCGCGACCTGGCGAGCCTACCGCTGTGAGACCTTCGCCTACCAGTTCGACGACCAGCGGTGCCTCCTCAGTGCCACCCACAGTGCCGACCTGAATTCTACCATGACCGCTGCAAAGAGTCACTCGGACTTGTATGATCGTGAGTGGTCGTTTTTTTTCCATTCTTTTCCATAACTAAAACGTACATAAAACACTCCATTTACGAAAAAAAAGGTAAATGAATGACCTCTTTCAAGCATTTCTTTTTTTCAGGAACTTACCTCAGTGAGTATAAAGTGGTGCTTTCTATTCTTTCCCTTAACTAAAACGCACATAAAACACTCCATTTACGAAAAAAATGGCAAATGAATAACCTCTTTCAAGCATAAAACACACATACACATACGTACATAAAACACACCATTTACGAAAAAAAAAATGAATAACCTCTTTCAAGCATTTTTTTTTTTTTTTTCAGGAACTTACCTCAGTGAGTATAAAGTGGTGCTTGGAGGGGTGGCACTCAATGGCACCGGCGTCGTAATTCCCGAAGTCGATCACCTGGACACCTGTGCCAGGTAAATACATGTGATTAGTAATACATTAAGGGTCGATGAACATTTAACTATGTCGTATAATAAGGGAAAGGTGTGTGGATGGCGGTGTCTGCCTATATTTATAGACACAAACATATGTGTACAGAAATAGATGTGCATATATATCCACAGTGATATAGAGTTAGATATCTATATATCTAGGTAGATAGAGGGGCAGATCAACAGAAAGATGAGGACATGGAAAGAGGGAGAGCCATCTATATATATATATATTATATATATATATATATTACTATATATATATACTATGCGTATATGTGTGTGTGTGTGTGTGTTGGCTGCATGTACTACGCCTGTTGTGTGTGTGTGTGCTGTGGTGTGTGTGCTTTTCGCCCTATACAATAATCATATAATTATAAATATATATACTATAAGTATCATATATATACTACTCTATCCCTACCTATATATATACATACTATACTATATCATACAATATATAGCATAGTATCACATATATATATTAATATAATATATATTATATCATTATATATATTATAATATATGTGATGTGGTGTGTGGCCCTGTCGTGTGTGTGTGTGTGGTTGTGTGTGTGTGACTTGATGTATGCTATGAAATGTTTGGTTACCGTTATGTGGTGGTATGCTGTGTGCTGTGTGGTGGTAAATATATAATCATATATACTATATATACAATTATATATTATATAGTTATATATTAATATATAATTAGTCCTATACTATATTATTATAGTATTATGTATGTATGATTTATTTATTTATATCTACTATACATATAATAACTATATATACTTATATATATATATAATAATTAGTATATATACATAACAACCATACAGACATACATTCTATATGACTCCTACTATTGAAATACATTATATTCACCAAATATATGTATATTGACTCTAATATATCATTACTATATTTATATATAAATTAACTACTATAACTAAGATCACCTCCTCTGAGCGTCTTATTTATTTAGCTTGATTATGATAAAGTGATTGGACAAATTTCTTGAAAATTAATGTATTACAAGTTTTTCATGCTTACAAAAGAAATCTATTGATGTTTATATAATTATATTGAGAATTTATAACATTTAGTTATGTACAATCATTAGAAATATATAATGATTTGATATTTTTACTTATACTTCATAATATCATTTATAAATTTTTTTCTTGTTTTTTCTTCTTATTTTACCACATATTTTATTTTTCTATTGTTTTCCCCAGAAATATATAGTACATATTAAGTAATTTACACACACACATACAACCAATCATCCCACAACATCCAAAATCCACCGACACACGACCCAAACAGTTCACTAAATAAATCATCATAGACAAACAGAGACAACACTGGCCAGCAGATCCCAACCTCCACCCATGATCCAACCAAGTCAGACTCAATAGGGTCTCAGTACATCTAGCCACTACCAAGGATGGGCTGGGGACCGTGAATGCATTACGAAGCCTGAAAGTCGGATCAAGGCAATTCACTGCCGCACCACTCGACCAACCTTAACCTTCTACCCACGGCCACACCTAGGACTGCCCACCTCAAATATGATGCGCAATACCTACGACGATTCTAACTATCATAACAGCTATCCCTATCCAGAGAACCGCATGCATGATGTGGGATCCCACCTTCTCCTTATAGCTCAGATTCAACTCCACTGCGTAGGGACAGCTGATATAGCACCTCCTAGCGGCCCACAATCTATAGTAGAGTGTGGACCTACAATTATGAGCGGGAAATGTCGATACACTCTCCGTCCTTCGCTCAACCCTCGCCCCCCTCCACATCCTAGCGTACGCTTGTGAGGAAGTCCTATACGTAGAAGGCCAGGAATCAAAACTGCACTATTAGGAGTAACTGTGATAAACATGCTTAACAGCATGGAGACACACAAATAGGCATGGGTCAAAACGTTGTGAAAGTATAGAGATACAATTATCAATTACATAGCGTCACAAAATATCTGAGTTAAAGAATTAATTAATGACGAAATAAACAAGATAGCGGCTGAAGGCGAAATAAGAAAAATGGTAAAGAACAGGAGGCAAAGTAAATATAGGTCACAAAAATCATTAATAAATTGAATGTTATATTCTAATAATGACAAATGAAGAGTCGAAATATAGATAAACACACAAATATATACTAACAAACAGTACAACCCGTCATAACAATACATAACTAACTCCTAACACCAAACATAAACAGCCTACCCCATTAATTATATATATATAATATATAATATATATAATATATATATGCACGTATATACTGTGTTGTGTGCTGTGTGTGTAGTGTGTGTGGTGTGTGGTGGTTGTGTGTAGGTGTGTAAGAACTTAGTAGTATTATAATATATATATATAATATATACTAATTATATGTGTGTGTGTGTGTGTGATGTGTGTGGTGTGTGTGTGTGAGTGTGTGGGGTGTGTGGTAACATATGCTATATAATGTATGTAGTGTGGGAAAAGGACCCGAGGAGAGGGGGAAGAGAGAGAACGGAGGAATGGTGTGTGAGTCGTGTGTTGTGTGTGATGTAGTGGGGCTGTGTGTGTGTGTGTGTGTGTGGTGTGTATCTATTCTGTCTATTCTCTCTCTCGTCTCTCTCTATATATATATAGTATATATATATATATATTTATATATACTATATAATTGTATAATTATACAAGTCTAGATATACATATATTCATTATATACATAATATACATATATTATATGATATATATATAGTATACATATACATATTTTCAGAAGTATATATATATATATATAAATATATATATTATACTATATATGATAATATATACACACACACACACACACACACACCACACACACACACACACACACACACACACACACACAACACAACACACACACACAACACACACACACACACACACACACACACAATATATTATGGAGAGAGAGATGGTGTGTGTGTGTGTGTGTGTGTGTGTGTGTGTGTGTGTGTGTGGTGTGTGTGTGTGTTTGTATCTCTCTCTCTTTCTGTCAATATAATATCTATGTATATATACATATATATATTATATATATATATATATATATAAGTATATAAATATATTATATATATATAATGTATATATATATATAGTATATATATAATTAATATAATAATATATATTATATATGTATATATATATATATATTATATATTATATATATATATTATAATATATATACTATATATATATATATATATATATATATATATATATATATAATATAATATACATAATATATATATATATATATATATATATATATATTATTATATATATAATATATATATTACTATATATGTATATATATATATAAATACATATATATATATATAATATACATAATATATATATTATTATATATCTATAATATATATATTATATATATATTATATATATATAATACTATATATATGATATATATTTTTTTTTTTTTTTTTTTTCCTCCGGCGATGCTTTATATATTCCACCAACACGTGACCTGATGAGGAAATGGTAATGAGGAATATCCAATGAATAGTCATTACCAAGTCAACTAGATTGGCCCAACGTCGTTCGAAATTTGAAACTAAAAGCACATGCACAAACTCGTAAATGTTACGAATGTTATTTTTATGTCCGTATCCCCTTGCAACGTTATATCATTTCCGAAACTTTTTTTTCTTCATATAATTATAATTTCATATAATCCTATGGATATGGTTATGATAAAAGTATATCTTAATATTAGAATAATGCAAAGGTCGACATTACATGAATTTAAGATAGACATATGAATATATTTTTTTTTAATTGAAGAATAATTTAAAAACAAATTTATAAATTTCCTTCCCCACAGACACTGGAAAAAACAAGACTATTTCACACTTCCCACTTGTCCTTCTCCAAGAAAACAAAAAAAAAAAAAAACATTTCACACATCACCCTTTTCCTTCCCCAAAAGAAAACGAAAGAAAACGAAAAACTATCTCACACTTCCCACTTTTCCTTTCACACAAGAAAACGAAAGAAAAAGAAAAACCATTTCACACCCCACCCTTTTCCTTCCCCAATAATACGAAAGAAAAAGAAAAACCATTTCACACTGCACACTTTTCCTTCCCCAAGAATAGGAAAGAAAACGAAAAAGACATTTCACACTGCACACTCTTTCTTTCCCAAGAATACGAAAGAAAACGAAAAAAAAAAATCACACCCCACCCCTTTCCTTCCCTAAGAAAACGAAAGAAAAAGAAAAAAAATCCTTCCACACCCCGTCCATTTCCTCTCCCACAGACATTGCTCGCAGGACACCTCCATATCCTGCAGGAGCTTCGAATGGTGTCACAAAGAACGCTTGTGTCGCCTCCACGAAGAATACTTCCTTGACGTGGCTGAAGGAGGAGACTACGAGACCCATACGTCGTGTATCCACTTTTCTAGTGAGTGTGAAAAGTTACTGTATTATATGGCGATACAATAGCTTGTTTTATTGGTTATTGAATTGTATTGTGTATGATACAATGGCCTGCTAGATTGGTTATTTTATTTGTTTTATGTTGTATATGTTCTAATTACTGTGTTATATGCAAGATGAGGCGATACAATAGCTTGTTTTATTGGTTGTTGAATTGTATTGTGTATGACACAATGGCCTGCTAGATTGGTTATCGTATGTGTTTTATGTTGTATATGCTGGAATACCTGTTCTGTTGGCTATTGCATTTTATTGTAATGTATATAACACTTGAGCCTGTTGTATTGTGTCCATATGTATATGCAATAACCTGTTATATTGGTTATTGCAATACTGCATTGTATATGTGTTGCCTGTGTGTGGTGTGTGTGTGTGTGTGTGTGTGTGTGTGTGTGTGTGTGTGTGTGTGTGTGTGTGTGTGTGTGGTGTGTGTGTGTGTGTGTGTGTGGTGTGTGTGTAAGAGAGAGAGAGAGAGAGAGAGTAGACACACACAACACTTATGTATATATATATGTATATATATATATATATATATATATATATATATATATATATATATATATACATATACATATATATACATACATACACACACACACACACACACACACACACACACACACACACACACACACACACACACACACACACACATATATAAATATATATATATATATATATATATATATATAGTATATATACATATATATACATATATATACACATATATAGACACACACAAGCACACACACACACACACACACACACACACACACACCACACACACACACACACACACACACACACACACACACACCACACACACACACACAGCACACACAATGTATATATATATAATATATACATATATACATATATTATATATATATATATATATTATACATATATACATATATGTATACATATTAAACAAAATGTATGTATATTACAGAATAAAATGCATAAATAGATATGATTAGATATAACGCGTTATGTAGTTACAGAAAAAATTCACAAAATATATTAGATAAAACGATATAAGAAAAGAAGACTTACAGTTACAGTGAATGTCCTTTAAAACACACTAGTAAAAAGACCACTAATGTTACTCCTTTCCACGTACTATGAGATAACATCATATTGATTTGCTGCAGTCCATGCATGTGCCGTGCTATGATCAAACGGATTAATGAAACAGCTGACTTTTGAAAACAGCTGACTGAGAAATTGCCTCTGACGAATTCAGTGTATTCAAGCTATGAACCAATGAAGTATATGAAGTTGTATGTGCATGTTTGTGTGTGTTTGTAGGTGTTTTTTTTATCCACGTATATAAATATTTTCCGAGAACCATTATTAGTTTCTTGTGTTTTATCTCTCATTCCCTCTTAGTCTTATTTTCTGTCACTCACACACATGTGCACAGACAAGCAGTCAAACAAACACTCACGGAAACAAACAAACACACCCACCAACAAACAAACACACAAACAAACCTAACCTACACACATACAAACAACCACACACCTACGCACATACACAAACAATAAACCTACACACATACACACACAAACAAACTACACACATACACAGAACAAATCTACACACATAACA